TCTGATATCTTGTAATTCATGTTAAAAAAAACTTGAGGTGTGCAAATGGCCATATCTGCAGAACCATGCGCATTGGTTCCGGAAATCATGACAACTAAATACTACATTAACTTATTCATGTCCTTTTTTCTACATAATTTTGATACTTCCTTCGATCCATATTAATTGTCGTTGATTTGGTACAAAATAATTTTGTGCTTATTTTGATAGTAAATTAAGATATTGGTCAGTACACATGTTGGTAGTCCAAAAATACATGGCAGTTAACAAAACTTAACGTCGAAGCTGGTCTAATTTGTGAATTTTTTTTTAGAAAAGGAGGATGACCCCCGGCCTCTGCATCTGGGTGATGCATACGGCCACTTGGTCTAATTTGTGATGGCATCTTTTTATTCAATGTACACGGAATTGTTACCAGGCATAGCTTAGGTGTATGGTACGTTCCTTTGCTGGAACCAACACACTTGGGTTCAAATCTTAAGCTTAGCAGGGTGCTTGCCTTTTTTCTGGAAACAATGTTCCCATCGACTACGAGATGTTTATATTGACTTTGTCAATCTCAAGGTTTACGGGCTCAATATGTCGGAGGTGCCCATAGAGATAAGGTGTGTGTGCGCATCCATAAGGGTGCGAGTGTTTGTGCCTGCACATAAACATCTGGGCTTTTATTGTGTCTGCCGAAAAACAAGGGGAATACCTAGAACTCATCTAGATGAGATATAATTTGGTCTCATTCACTTTGAAAACAAGAATAGATACAACCCACGTCAGTACACACGCATCTTATAGCATCACATCCAATGGCTATAAAAGGTGAATGAGACCAAATTATATCTCATCTAGATGAGTTCTAGCAAAACTGAAAAACAAGTTAGTAAGAAAACTAGGACGTTTTCCTAAACATGAAACTCTGCGATGTTTTTTTTCCCAAATCTCTTACCACTCCCTTGTTAGTTTCTCAAATAACATGTGCATATTAAAGAATGACGGCGAAAAACATGTGTTAGACACCGTGCTACGTGTAGTTAGGAAGGAAAGGGTGGTATTATTTCTCCTCCCGCAACCGTAAAGCTGCACGCACTCCCTTCCGTTCGAACTAAAACGACGGCACTTACTTTTAAACGGAGGAAGTAGCACCTAAACCCTCCTCCCATCCGCCAGTGTTTGCTTAGAGCCGCATACGATTATGGCATAATAATGACGCGAAAGCACGAGTGGTACCGGTACTACTACGATTAGCTCTCGCCAGCGGACGGGGATCAGGTACGTACGTACGCCTATGTGCCAAATGTCTACGGCCAAAACGCACTGCTGGTACCTACTAGGCTACTACTAGCCGGTGAATTCGTAAGACGATTCACATGCGGAGAACATGTCACTGGCCTGCATAGCCATAGCCCACAGGACAGCAGCTTGATGGGTTGTGACCAAGTGACGAGCACACCCATGTACTACACGTCTACACGTACGGCCTAAGGCGGGGAGAGAGAGAGAGATAGAGAGAGCCGAAGGCTCAATGGAACAGTAGAATAGGATCCGGAGGATTGGCTCCCAATGGAACAGTAGAATCTCCTCCTAGTCAGTGAGCGATACACACACCAGAGAGATAGAGAGGGATAGGGAGCCAGATCTCCCAAGAACTCCCCAACGCAATGCATGGACGGAAGATCAGATCAAGCATGTAGTATAAAATGAATCAATTGTCCAAGAGGATAACTAGCTGATTTGTTTTCTGAGCTAGCCAGGCAACAGGCCAGCAGAGAAGAAGAAATGAAATAGTTTGTGCGGTTCTGAAATGGGAAAAGGTACTATATGTGTGTTTGCCCAGATCTGGAGATGCTAGCTATGGGTGGCAAGCAAGTAGTAGCTCTGATTTCACATTTATAGCTCTGATTTGTCGATCTGGAGCATGAACACCAAAAGAGGAAAGGGGAAACGCATCTCACACCCAGCGCTCTGATGGGTTGATAACTTGATATGGATGGATGATTGGAAAGACGCAACAGCCAGATCTTTCCGCGAAACAGCAAAAGAAGATGAGGAGAGGCTACCATCCTAGCGGCCTAGCTACATCTACATGCATGGAGAAGACCTTGGAGCGAACTCTTTGGGATAAAACAAACAAATCGGAGCGGAATCAGCTGTGGTTGGGTACCATATATGAGGATGTGGAGAACTCGAAGAGGCGGCCGCGGGTGGAGAAGATGATGAGCGCGACCACGGCGTCGCAGAGCACGGACAGCTCGTACGCCTTCTTGAGCAGGCCGTTGCGGCGCTTGGCGAAGGTCACCTGCCGGCTGACCTTGTTGTCGATCCGCTTCAGCTCCACCTTGCCGCGCCCCATCCTCCTGCCTCTCGCCTTGCTCCTGCTGCCTTGCCCTTGTCCTTCCCCTTCTCCTTCTCCCCTATCCTCCTCTCCTTCTCCCTGCGGCGCTGCTCGGACGGATAGAGGAGGAGGAGTTGTGGTGGTAGAGTGCTTCCCTCTCTTTATGCTACAGATGGATGCTACCGCATGCACGTACGGTGCTCTCTATCTTTCCCTTTCCTTTGTATCTCGCTTGAAGGTATCTTCTCCCTCTTTGGCCGTCCTGGGGCCGGCACCGGCAGCCGTGCTCTCTTTCTCATCGCCGTGCGGTGCGGGGCCCGCTCGTCCGTTGCCTGGCGCCCCGGTATATTGGTATATGCTCCAATGGTATGGTATTGCATTGGTAGTTTGGTACCCATCCGTCACTCCGAGCAGGCCCTAGCTAGCTAGGCAGTAGCCATTGCTCTCCAACGTGCCGCTCCAGTACGGAGTGACGTGCGGGACGGAGGAGGGCTGGAGGGGTGGGCACGTGCCTGGTACGAACGTGTCGACCGACCGCTTCATCAAGCCCCAAAGGCGCATGAGCAGTTCTAAAAAGATCGGAATAGCTGTGCGTGCCACAGCTACAATATGGTCCAACACTCATACAAGCCACGCTCTCGAAAAGAGGGCTTTCGCCGGACGCGGACAAATAAACTAGCGCTCGGGCGCGTTTGGTCATGTCATGTGAAGGCAGCTCCGGTCTCCGGCGGCGTCCACCAAAACGCTTCTCAACGTCCGGATCATCCGGTCCGAACACCTTTTGTCGTCCAACACCGTGCAACAAACGTCCATCGACCCATTCGGACGTTCGAAATCCAACAAACCAGAAGCAAGTCGGTAGGAGGTTAGTAGACGTCCGCCACGTCGGCACCCGTCTGAGCGGTCCCATCCAGAATCCTCACCGCACGTTTCGTTCCAGATGCATCGTCGCGCATTCAGTGCCATTTAGAGCAGATGCGATCGACGGCCACCTACCACATTCATGCCGGTCAGACCGACGTGACAGGACGACTGGCAGGAGACACTTCAAGGTGAATGTGGCGATCGAGAAGCCTACTCTGACCGATGCACCCGCATATCCGGACTATTTAAATGGGTTGGCCTCGTCGGCAACCCGACTATTTAAATGGGTTGGCCTTGTTGGCCAAACCCATCTGCACTCTGCGCACTTCCGCCTCTCCTCTACTGCCCACATTGCAGAGATGGGCAAGTCCGACAACGGCTCTAGGTAGTTCTCGTTGCCGGCAGGTGGATCCACGGGGTCGTTTGGATCGTGGCACCGTCGCCCACGATCGCCAGCCCAAAGGCGCCAACGGTCAAGGAAGAGGTGGTGATCTTGGACGACAACGATGAGCGGGAGCAGCCACCCCTCCTCGCCAAGGCCAGACGGATAGACGAGAAGTGCGTGCGATAGATCAAGCTGCTGCTCCGGTGGTTCCTCTTCGACCATGGTACCGCGTCAAGGAGGATCCCGCATCCCCGTCCGCCACCGCGTCAAGGAGGGGGCGGCGTCCCCGCCGCCCAACAAACAATGGTGTGTCGTCCAGCTGGCGTCCCGCCGCGCCGTTTCAGGTGCAGCAGGGAGATGGCGCCGATATCTCCACCCCAGTGACATGCGTCGGCTGTGAAGGAGGAGGAGGTATCGTCCCCGGTGATCGCCAATGCACTCGGCCGCCTTCTTCGCTATTGTTATCATGGTAGCAACACCTCATCCTCACGCACCAGAACAAGGCTGTACTCGAGGAGGAGCACCGGGATCGGCGCGCCGTTCGGCCTTTGCGACGTCAAATGTGGAGCCAAACTAGGTGCTCATCGACGCGGACCTCGTGTTGGTACGGGCCGAAGATCGGTCCAGTACCACCGCGCAAATGTCCGCCCACCGCCAGCATCAAACTGGTGACCAGCTCTACAAGATCGGGTTGGCTGAGTCCTAGAGTGCCGCCAGTGCCCTTGTTGCAAGGGCAAGGACAAGGGATGGCGGCGCGGGCAGAAATCTATGACTGACTGTCACCACCAGTCGGATGCAGTCTTCTATGCCGCGAGTGCGAGTCAGTGACCGATTAGAGCAACCGCAACCCTAGGCAAGTTGTCTGTTGCTGAAAGGACGACAACGACATCGGCGACGACAATGAAACGAAAGGCGGCAGAGGTGTGAGCAGCCTTGGAGGCCATGCCTACGAGGTCACCGTCTGGTACCTCATGTAGCTTAGTTTATTATTTTAAAAAATAAGCTTCTTAAATAGCATCAGTTTTTCATGCGATGTATGTAACTTGTTTAAATTTGGCTTTGCTTGCACAAATTTCGTCCGTTTTGTGAGATATCCGTTTAAAGTGTGGGTGGACATTTCGTGCATAAGATTGGATGGCCACTCTCCTACCCGTTGTCCGCGGACACATTCGACATTTGGCGTGTGCGATTTGATGCACGGCGTTAGATTAGCCATTGTCATCTTGACCTGTGATTTGAAATCGAGTTTGTCTATCTTTGAGCCATGCATCCAGCGTGTAGGTAGCAATAACATTGGTACCAACAATAACAATGTACATGTGGTTTGAAGATGCGTAGCAAGAAGTGATTGTAACTTAGCCATGGGCACCAACAATAGCTATGAGTTCTGTATTTCGGTACACCATTTTCTCAAACCACAGGAATATATAACTTGAAAACGTTGGCTGCCATTTGTCACACATATGTCTCCCTCTCGTGACCAATTTTGGTGTTTTGACCCTTTTGGTAAACTTTAGCCGGATCTAACCCCCATTCGAGAAAAAATCGAGCCTCTAATGGGCTGCCTCTAGTGTTAAGGGTCCCGAGTATGAAACAGAGACAGCCGACTAGGCCGATACAAAAGTCTGTCCCATTTGTTTTTTTTGCGAGGAAAAGCCCATATTTCTTAAAGAGGGGGCGATCCCAGAAAAGCCCTCCTTCCTCCTCGCTTCCACTTATACTTCAGCTCGCTGGACTCTCCCGCTTTCATCGCCTCCCAATTCCCCCGCACCCTATCTTCCTCACTCGTACAGAAAACCCCCGCTCACCTTCTTCCCCACTCGTACAGAAAACGCCTGCTCCTCTTCTTCCACTCCTACAGAAAACCCCAGCCTTCCATCTTCCCCACTCGCACTGTCACTAGGCTCGTTGAAAGTCAACTATCCCTAGGTGGTTTTGGTAATTCCTAACAACATATATCTTATTGAGCTAACACTATTTGAAGATAAATATTTCAGGAAAAGCTCAATGAATGAAATGGCATGGATGAGAAAAGTGAACCCTTCAAAATGCTAAGGATAAAAAGATTGGCTCAAGCTCAAAGCTCAAGACTCTACATTTTATATTTTAGTGATCCAAGATCACATTGAGTCTATAGGAAAAGCCAATACTATTAAGGAGGGATGAGGTGTTGCTTAATGAGGTTCTTGCTCAAAGTGCTTAGTGATATGCTCCAAAACCCTCAACTACTCTCTCGCATCCACATATGACCTAAACCAAAAGTCAAACTCGGCCCCACCGATTCTTTCTATCCGGCGCCACCGAGTTCAGATGTCCTAGCCACTGCCATAAACCCTAGGCAAATCGGTCTCACCGATAGGGATCTCGGTCTCACCGAGATGGTATTGTAATCTCTCTGTTTCCCTTCATAACGTTTCGGTACCACCGAGATGAGCGATCGGTCCCACCGAGATTGCAATGTAAACTCTATGTTTCCCTTTCGTAACATTTCGGTCTCACCGAAATGAGCGAAGCAGTCCCACCGAGTTTACATGACCAACTCTCTGGTTAGCTTATTACCAAAATCGGTCCCATCGAGTTTGTGTAATCGGTCTTACCGAGATTACGTTATTCCCTAACCCTAACCATATCGGTCCTACCGAGTTGCATGTCGGTCCCACGAAAATCCTAACGGTCACTAGATTTGCTGAATCGGTCCGACCGAGTTTCTCAATTCAGTCCCACCGAGATTGGCAAGTTGTGTGTAAAGGTTAGATTTTGTGTGGAGGCTATATATACACCTCCACCTCCTCTTCATTCATGGAGAGAGCCATCAGAACAAACCTACACTTCCAACTTACATTTTCTGAGAGAGAACCACCTACTCATGTGTTGAGACCAAGATATTCCATTCCTACCATATGAATCTTGATCTCTAGCCTTCCCCAAGTTGCTTTCCAATCAAATCTTCTTTCCACCAAATCCAAATCCCGTGAGAGAGAGTTGAGTGTTGGGGAGACTATCATTTGAAGCACAAGAGCAAGGACTTCATCATCAACACACCATTTGTTACTTCTTGGAGAGTGGTGTCTCCTAGATTGGCTAGATGTCACTTGGGAGCCTCCGACAAGATTGTGAAGTTGAACCAAGGAGTTTGTAAGGGAAAGGAGATCGCCTACTTCGTGAAGATCTACTGCTAGTGAGGCAAGTCCTTCGTGGGCGACGACCATGGTGGGATAGACAAGGTTGCTTCTTCATGGACCCTTTTTGGGTGGAGCCCTCTGTGGACTCACGCAACCGTTACCCTTTGTGGGTTGAAGTTTCCATCAACATGGATGTACAATAGCACCATCTATCGGAACCACGACAAAAACATCTATGTCTCCAATTGCGTTTGAATTCTCCAAACCCTTTCCCTTATATTCTTGCAAGTTGCATGCTTTACTTTCCGCTGCTCATATACTCTTTGCATGCTTGCTCGAATTGTGTTAAGATTGCTTGACTTGTGCTAAGTTAACTAATATCTGCCAATAACTAAAATTGGGAAAATGATAAGTTTTTATTTGGTCAAGTAGTCTAATCACCCCCCTCTAGACATACTTCCGATCCTACAAGTGGTATCAGAGCTTTGGTCTCCATTTGCTTTGATTTCCATAGCTTTTGGTGGTCATAGCCTTGGTTTCACAACCTAGGAGAGTATGGCGTCTAGCGAGGGAAACTACCACCGTAGAGGTCCTTACTTTGATGGTACGAATTTTGCTAGTTGGAAGCATAAGATGAAAATGCATAT